TTGGGGGGGGTAAATGGCCGCTTTGTAGAGAAACTCCGCGGGGGGGGGGTCGAGGTTTTTTCTCTCTGCGTGCGGTAATGGGCGGCAACGAGCCAGATGTTGGCGGGGACGAGTGTGTGTGTGTGTACGTGTGTGTGTGTACGTGTGTGTGTGTGTACGTGTGTGTGTACGTGTGTGTGTGTGTGTACGTGTGTGTGTGTACGTGTGTGTACGTGTGTGTGTGTACGTGTGTGTGTGTGTACGTGTGTGTGTATACGTGTGTGTGTGTGTACGTGTGTGTGTGTACGTGTGTGTACGTATGTGTGTGTGCGTGTGTGTGTGTGCGTGTACGTGTACGCATGTGTGTGTACGTGTGTGTGTACGTGTGTGTACGTGTGTGTGTGTGCGTGTACGTATGTACGTATGTACGTGTGTACGTGTATGTACCGCGGTCGGGCCTGGTGCTGGCCACCCACCCGCTCCGTGTACCGTGCCGCCCTTCTTAGGTGCTCGCTAATCGCACTTGCCCCAACAGTCTGTTAAGGCTACATGGGAGACTTTTGTCTTTGGGTAGCGGTAGTGTTGCGGTTAGCGTGCTGCGCTACGATCCCGGCGAACCGAGTTTGATTCCCGCTCACGACCACCACCACCACCAGTGATCATTATCTAAACCTGGTCCTGACATGAGCACCCGGTGTAATGTGTAAACATCGCCGCTGAGCAAGCAAAGGCGGCCGGGCGCGATGCTGGTCACCACTTGCCCCAACAGTCTGTGAATGCTACACGGGGTGATCTCTGTCCTGTCAATGTTTGCGTGACTGTGAGCGAGCACGCGTCTTACGCCGTTTACGGATGCCACGGTGGCGAGATGTTAACTCCCTCGCCTGGTGTGCAGGAGGTCGTGGGTTCGATTCCGACCATGACGCCAGTATATTTGGAGTTTGCGTGTCTCTCTCCCCATGGTGGCGTGGATTTTTCTCCGCGTCCTCCGGTTTTTCCCTCCACATTTAGAAAGATGCGTTTATGGTATTTGGCTGCTTTGCATTTCTGCGTGATAAGTCATCTTCGTTGAGCTATCATTTGTGGTCTCAGGTCGCCTCTGAAAAAGAGCTGTATAGCTCAGTGGGCCTTACCTGGTAAAATAAAATAAAAATTGATGAGTAGTTAAACGTGACCGCTGGAGAAGTTTCTGCCAAATGGCAGAAACCTCTCCAGCGTTTCATCAAAGTCATTCCTTCCCGCCAAGTTTTTTGGCAGAAAAGAGCGCCGTGTGGAAACCAACGTCTCCTTCTCCACATATCCACGTGAAAAAAATAAATCTAACTTTTTGTTGTTGTTGTTGTACACATCCCATCACCAAAAGTCTGGACCGGTTTCGACACACCGTGGTTTCATCAGCAGCACGGCTTGCTTCGACCAGTGTTGGTGAACTTCTCCCCCTACAATTACGAGTGCCGGTGCCGCGTTCGCCGCCTGATTGCAGAGGTTCGCGGTTCGCGTCAGGCAGGCGGTTCTGACGAATACTGCCGGTGTATTATTTACAGTTAAAACAAAAAAATACTAACGACGTGCCGTCTTCAGAGCGGACGTTAAAGGTCCTGCGACGTCTTTCGCAAGAGTAGGCCATTGTGCGCCGAGGTCAACGGTTCAAATTTGGCAAACTTGAAAGAAAGAAAAAACACCTGCAAATGATACCTAACAATAAGATCCATTTTTTTCTAATTCGGTAAAAAAAACTCCGTATTTAAAGAGCCGCAATGCAATTTGTGGTGAATACGAGACGTGGTCCTCCATAAATAACGTCACGAAGCAGCCTTTAAAGAGCCACAGGTCGCCGACCCCTGGGTTAACAGTATCAATTGCATCGTCTCCCCCCCCCCCCCCGCAGACTAATATGCACAGGTACAGCTGCCACTGGGGGGGCAGTGCCCGAGGCTAAACCACAAAGCGAGTATCCTCGAGGTTGGGGCAATTGTTGGTGGTGGTGTTGCTGCTGCTGTCTGGCGGCTTTCCAGCTTGTCTGACGTACGGCCCGATCCTCACGAGGCAGGTGGTCGGCTTGGCCCCATCTCGTGAGTCGTCACCTCGCAGATATTCGGATCAAAACCCCAGTTGCGGACGAGACTTCGTAGTGTCTCACGCGTTCTCACCCGGTTTAACTAAATAATCCTGCACTTGAAATACCTTTGACGGCCAGCTCCACGTGAACGTGCGCACAATAAACAAAGATCGCCCCTGTGTAGTCTTAACAGACTGTTGGTGCTTTTAGCGAGCACCTATGAAGGGCGGAATGGCACACGATGGGGTGGGTGGCCACCGTTACGCCTTTGTCTCTCTAGTGGCGATGTTTATGCACTGCACCAGGTACTCATTTGAGGCTGAGTCGACCTAGAGGAAGTCCAGGACTAGTTCAAATAATTGTCAGTAGCATTGGACCGTGAGCGGGAATTGAACTCGGACCACCAGGTTCGTAGCGTCGCGTGATAACAGCTACACTACCACTCCCCAGAACCCTAACCACAAACACAACCCCAACCACAACTCAAAGCCCAACCACAATCCTAACCACAAACATAACCCTATCTCCAAACACAATCCTAACCATAAACACGAAACCTACACACATGACACAAACTCCTGGTTTCCCTGACACGGGACTGCACACCATAATAACACATCACACCTCACCACCATCACACCATCTCCACTACTACCACCACACCACAACCCTCTCCCATCCCCACCACTACCGCCGCACCACCACCGACACAACCACACACCTCTATAACTCCCTCCACTACATCACTACACATCTCACCACCACACACACCACGACCACCAACCACCACCCCCACGTACACCTCACCACCACCGCCGCACATGTGCCCTGGAGGAACCACGTGCTTTGTTGTCGCCCCTGGGGGGGGCAGGCTCCGTTTCCGCACCCTCCCCGCTCCCGCTCTGACAATGCGACCACCCCCACCGCTCCCTCCTCTCCCCTCCCCCTCGTTCCTCGTCCACCCTCAAGCCCCCCTCCACCCCACGCCCCCCACCCCCAACCATCGCCGCGGGCCCTTGCTGAGCCCCCGACATACGGGATTCTGGGATCTGAGCGCAGACACTCGTGACTGGCCCAGACATTCGCCACCAACCAATCCACCCCTCCAGCCGTCTTTAACGTCCCTTCATTCGTGTGCTATTATGCACTCCCAGAAGGGCGTGCAGCTGATGGGATGTGTAAAAAAATCTACTTTAAGTATATTTTTAACGTGAAAGCACAGATATGCGAAGAAGACGCAGTCTGCTTAATCTGTTTAAGTTTCCACAAGGGGCGATTTGAGCCGATCTTCACATATTACAATGAGTATACACCCCTAGAGCGCCGTGTGGCTGATGTGATATGTACAAAATACTTTAATTGGTTTACATGGAGGGACATTATATACGGTATAGATATATACGCAATATATACGTGGCCTGCTTATTTATTTTGCTTCTTACATTCTCCCACAACGGCGCTGACGATTGCCTCGTGTCCGGTCCACTGAGGGTCACTTCAACTCAGGTCGACTCTGCCCCTGTGACCGGAACGCCTGGAGCGTGACCGCGTGGCGTGTGGCGGGGAGTGGGGGGGGGGCATAAATAAACTCCGGGGGGGGGGGGCACGACGACACAGTGCAGTGCATGTCAAATACACTTTAAACAACAAACCCTAAACGCTGAACAGAACGAGTAGCGAGCACTGCGGTCCGCTCGTGTCTCTGGCACAGCCTGACCCAGAGAGGCTGCGATGCCCCCCCCCATCACTCCCCATCCCTCCAACTCGATATAGAACGGGTCGCTGAGGGGGTGGCTGAGCCTTTGACAGGAGAGGGGAGGGGTGAGCCCCCTCAAGCTTCACCCCACCCACCGTTAAATCAGAATAAATACCCAGGAAAATTCGCCACTTTCACCCATCAGTCCCGTCGTATGAATGAATAATTAAATATACGCATATGTTTTAAGCATCCCATCAGCCGCATGTGTGGGAGTGCATAATTTCGGGAGCATTGGTTCAACACAAGCAAAATTTAACTCTCAAAACGGTTTGGATATTCAGTGTCCCATCAGCAGATTCAGGCCCTGACCAGATATTGACATTGCAAGGGATCGACCCTTGTATAAACCCGTACTTTACCGTTCGGTACGCACATTATTTTGCGATGCTGCTGCGTCGGCGGTGGCGCACAGGCCCAAATAACAGCACAAAACGACTCGACGCTTCCGTCAATAACGACACTTTGTGGCCTCAAAAGGGGGAAAAGATAGCTTAAGCTTTCAGTGACGTGTCCTGTACAAGACGTCGACAGAGAAGGTTTACGCTCACGGGATTTTACGACGACGAGATAGGGCTCCTGGTTGGACCCCCCTCTGATGGTGGCGTCAGGTCAAACACAGGGGTCAGTGCCTAGATTATCTGTGAGCACCTGGACTTGAATGTCCCCGGCATTGTGAGGCACGTGGCGGCTTTGGGTGGCGATGCTCTGGACGGTCTACTCGAAGCTTCCTGCGAAGCATTGCTCCGCACGAGAGTTGTACTATGTATGTTGCACTTCTTTCACGCCGTACGTAGCCAACCGTGCTAATCGGAAGTGCAGCGGCAGGACAACAAATTAAACACAAAAAACAGTTCTAAACAAATTAGTTTTTAATCTAGACGATTTTAAAGTACATAGCTCCAGTGGCTTCCTAATAATGGAAGTGCGGTCCCAACAGCCGCAGAAGCGCACCTGAAAGAGCGAGATGCTGTGGCCATCTTTGTGTCAATGGTCAGCCAAAAGCCACATGCTGTGAGGCCGACCAGAGTTTGCGTGATGGTTTATGCTCCTTGATTAAGTTGCCGATGGTGCGTTCCGCCGTTTGGTCACCGTCTCCGCAGTCACGTGAGCGGACCGATCTCTGGTCTTCAGCTTCTGTACGAAGTAAGGTCATGTTAGGTAGTCGCTCTGCCCCCCCCCTCCCCGCCCCGCCCCGTCTGACAGGTCGGTACAGATCTCTCGTCTCTCCCCCGTGCAAGCTCCCCCCCCCCACCTCCCCCGCCCGGGGCCCATCATGGACAGCGCCATCACGCTGTGGCAGTTCCTGCTGCAGCTGCTGCTGGACCCGAGGCACGAGCAGCTCATCCGCTGGACCTCGGCGGATGGGGAGTTCAAGCTGCTGCAGGCGGAGGAGGTGGCGCGCCTGTGGGGGCTGCGAAAGAACAAGACCAACATGAACTACGACAAGCTCAGCAGGGCGCTCAGATACTACTACGACAAGGTGGGGGATTACGGGGACAGGGGGACACAGGGACACGGTGACGGGGACACAGTGACAGGGGGACACGGTGACAACTGTAAACACGTGGCGTGCCGTCTGCGTCACTCACAGCGAACGTTAAAGATCCCTGTGTCGTCGTTTACAAGAGTAGACCATCGTGTGCTGGGGCCATGGAGTAATGATAACTGGGGCAGCCGTCTGGCTGGAACCACGAACGTCGGCAACAAACAGCGAACGCACTACCTCGGGCCACACGGCATCGTCCCGGCCAGTCTCAACCTCCGCTTAGCTTCCCCAGATTCAGAGCCATTTGGCCATTTGGTCGTGAGTTGCTCCCTAACTCCCCGCGTGTGCTACCCTTCTCCCCTCCCCCACGCTCCGCAGAACATCATCAAAAAGGTGAATGGACAGAAGTTCGTCTACAAGTTCGTGTCATTCCCCGACATCATGAAGGCCGACGGCCTGCAGGGACGTGCCGGCGGGGTCAATGGCGGGGTCAGCGGCGGCGGCGGTGACCTCTCACCAAGGCCTTACGGGAGCCAGGGCCCCGAGCCAGCCTCCGGCGACTACCGCACGCTGCCGCCCCCACCATTCATCAAGGCCGAGCCGCGCAGCCCTACGCCCGCCCAGCAACGGCAGCTGCTTGACGAAGACGATGACGACGACGATGAAGAGGAGGAGATGGGTGCAGAGGACGAGGACGACGATGAAGACGTGGACCGCGATGAGGAGGACGACGATGATGAGGAGGAGGAGATGTCTTTGCTGTCGTCGGCAATGGCGTACCGCGTGGCCCCGCTGGGTCGGGCCCTGGCCGGAGGCCTCCACCCAGCGCTGGCGCTCTACGCTCTCAAGAGATCCGGGGGGACCCTGCGCGCGGTCAAGAGCGAGGGGTTCGACGGCCCTTGCAGGACGGTGATCTCCCAGCAGCAACAGCACCACCACCACCAGCATCACCAGCAGCAGCGGCACCAGCAGCAGCGGCAGCAGCAGCGACGGCCGGAAGCTCCCGATGATGACGAGCAACCGCTAAACCTGAAGGTGCAGAGGGGCCCCGTGCCGCCGCGTGGGGGTGGCAGCGGTGGCGCCGCCTCCGCGGGGGTCATCGTGTCGCCAGCGGCGTCCGGGGGCCGCGCGAAGGCCCGACCGCGAGGCCTCGAGCTTGGGCCGCACGCTCAGCTGCTGCTGCATGCGCAGGGCGGGGACGCGGGCCCACACAGCCCCTCGCTGCAGCCCCTGCTGTGCGGGGCCCTTGCGCAGGGCTTCTACGGCCCCAACGTGAGTGGAGGGGCCCTGGGCTCCAAGACACCCTCCTAACCTCGCCTGACCTCACCCGACCCGCGTGACCTCTCCTGATCTCTGCTCGTTACATAAAATGCACTGATGCATCTCGACCCCACATGACCCCACGTCGTATCGTCATACCCCTCCTAGTCACTGCTGACCCCTCTTGAACCCTGCTGACTCTTCTGACTCCTGCTGTTCTTTGTCTGCTCCTGACCCCACCTGACTTCTCCTGACCCCCTCTGACTTCTGATCTCACCTGACCCTACGGCGCCTCATTTGACGATCCCAATGCCGGTGGCTTCCTTGGCCCTCTCTTTACCCCCTTTCTGGCCCCACTTGACCCCTCATGGTCCCTGCTGATCCCCGCTTAATCTTTCTCGACCCCCCCCCCCCATCTCCTGATCCTGCATAAATCCCTCGCTGGCGCGGGGCCCGCGCGTGCTAGCACACATCTCAGAGGCAAGGGTTGTGGATCACAGAGAGATCTGTGAAATTCCAAAAGCTATGAGATGCCCAGTAAACATACAAACGTTGGGCCAACGTCAGTTGACATTGGACCAACGTTCGTCCAACGTCAAACAACGTCCAACCAACGATGATCCAACGTCCAACCAACGTTCAACCAACGTTGGCCCACATTTAACCAACGTTGCTCAACGTTAGCCCAACGTCAAACAACGACCCAAACGTGCATGCAAGTGAGCATCAGAGGGCAGTGCAGCAAAAGTGCCTGTTGTACTGCACTGCTGTGATCCCCACCTTCCCTAACCCGCACTGACCAGCGTGAAGTATGGTCAAGTCAAATAACCCTGGTGGAGAGGGGGAGGCTTTAATCTCTATTGGTGACCCTCAGATAAAATTGGCTGATGAACCTTGACCCTGCCTGTGGAAATTCCACATTTTCATGACGGGGGAGGGGGGTGGGAGGTGGGGCGTTTAGTGTCCGTCCGTACGTACGTATGACAGCGACCTCTGTTCAGATCCAACAAAGTGGTAGTGGTTTTAGCGGCGGCGGAAGGATGATGGTTTTGTGGATGCGTGTCCCTCAGACCCCGGTGCTGCTCACGCCGAGTCCGCTGCTGCCCTCGCTGCACTTCTGGAGCACGCTGAGCCCCCTGCCCCCACGCAGTCCCGGGGGGCGGCTCACGGGCTCCCACCTCGCCTTCCAGGTGGGTCACGTCACCATCTCCGCCAACATCGCCATCTCCACCACCAGGTCTTCTCCACCACCATCCCCATCTCCACCGTCATGGTCATCTCCACCGTCATGGTCATCTCCACCACCATCGCCATCTCCACCACCATCGTCATCTCCACCACCATCGTCATCTCCACCACCATCGTCATCTCCACCACCATGGTCATCTCCACCACCATCGCCATCTCCACCACCAGGTCATCTCCACCACCATGGTCATTTCCACCACCATCGTCATCTCCACCACCATGGTCATCTCCACCACCATGTCATCTCCACTGCCATCGTCATCTGCACCACCATCACCATCTCCACCACCATCGCCATCTCCACCACCATCGTCATCTCCACCACCATCGCCATCTCCACCACCATCGCCATCTCCACCACCATCGTCATCTCCACCACCATCGTCATCTCCACCACCATGGTCATCTCCACCACCATCGCCATCTCCACCACCATCGTCATCTGCACCACCATCGTCTATACTTTATTGTATTTTTTTATTTGTTTTTGACACTTGTGGTGAATGAGACTCCATCCCAAACAAGACTCCATCCTGATCTCCTGAGTGCTTATCGGGTTAAGCAAAACCCTACTTGAAAACCTGCACTCACATCGTTCACCATTTCAACTGGTAGGCCCAGTGAATCTATCATCACAGTTACGCGCTGAGTATCGTTTACTCGCAGTCCTGTGGTAACGTCACGCTATGCGTCTCTCTCCTCCCCCTCCCTCCTCCTGCCCCCCCTCCCCCGAATTCCTCCCCCCCTCGCCCCCACCCCCAGTTCCCTCCCCCGGGCGCTGCCCCCCTGCTCGGCCTCCCCATGCCAGGAGTAGACGGGGGCCCGGGCTCCCTGCTGCTGGCTCACGGCTCCCAAAAAGTGTGACTGAGCCGCACCTGGCCACACCTGGACAGGGCGTGGGGGAGGGGAATGGGGAGTGGGGGGGGGCCTCCACGGAGGGCACGGAATTGAGGGGGGCACGACATCAGCACCCTTCCTCACCACCCCATCTGTTTGGAGGGACAGGGTGGGGGGGGGAGGAGACACCCCCCCCCCCAACGGCGCTTGATTTTGGGTGAATTGCACTCCCCCTCGCTGTCTCCCTATAGCACCCCACTGCCCCGTCCCACCCCAGACACGCACATTCTACCCCCCACACCACCACCTCATTGGTCTTTGCCACCTCAATAAGGAAGGGGGGGGGGGGGGGTGAGGAGTGGGAGGTGACAATGGGGTGCTCGATTTCCCCACCCCCTAACCCCCAAAGTGGCCCGGACTGTGGTTTCTCTCTGCGCACGAACCACTGTCTAAATGTGGGTCGGAGAATGATGATGGTGGTGGTGGTGATGCTGATGGTGCTGCTTGTGATGATGCTGATGATGATGATTTGGCCGACGACGTTGCTCGGTGCTAAGTGGGACTCGCTCTCTCGTCTCATCATTCTCGGAGTCTTCGCCTTACGCTCATGCGACTTGCGCAAATACAGCTAAGAACGAAATTCTCAATCAACGAAAAGAATCGTAATCATAATGATGGATTTTGGAATCGAATCGCGAACCGAAATCGAATTTGAATACGTGTCAATCAATTGCATCGCTGGGGTGGGAATGTGGGGGTGGGGGACAGTGGTAAATTGTATTACTTCCCTGTGAATTGACCAATAACCTCACAACTGCCGCGCAGTGCTAGGACAGTTGGGGGTGTAGTTGGGGGGCAGCTAAGGGCAGCTCCAGAGCAGTCATGGTCCAAATTTGCCATATTTGTCTCGTGGCAAGTTCTGTCAGCACACACACACAGACACATGGCCCAGCCGCTTGTTGCAGAGGTTTGCGGTTTGAATCCGGCAGGCCGCCCTGACTAATACTAAGGATGTATTAACAATGACAATACCACACTCCGTCTGCTTCACAGTGAACACCAAAGATCCCGTGACGTTATCCGCAAGAGTAGGGCATTGTGTGGCGGTGTCACAGTTCAAATTTGAAACAATGACACGGCAGAGTTACTGAATTTGAATCTATATCGCTAATCATCGTTACATACAACGAATACCTGGCAGGACCCTCCGTGAGAGTCGGAGAGGCTTTCTTGGGTTAACCAAGTGGAATCGTATAATTTGTATGTATATTAAACTATATATATAAAAAAAACATTTTTTTTAAATTTGACCAGGTAAGGCCCACTGAGTTATATATCTCCTTTTTCAGAAGCGACTTGTCAACAAATGATAGCAGCCAAAATCCGGAGGCCCTGGAGAAAAATCCACATGACCACAGGGAGAACATGCAAACTCCAAATATACAGGCGTTAGGGTCGGGATCGAACCCACGACCTCCTGTATACCACGTGGGGTATTAATCGATTGAGGCGGAGGTATCAGGGCAGCTGCAGGGCCCAGCTAGCTGGTACCACGAAAAATACAATGAGACTTAAATCATCATTATCATCATCATCAACAACAGCAGGAACAGCAATGTTATTGTTATATGCAAGTGAATATTTTATATGCAGTACTAAAACTTGTTTTTTTTTACAATGTAAATATATACAATCTCGACTCTTTTGTATTCGACAATGTTTATACGAATATTTTTGTACAGGAATATCTCTGAATTTAAAGTTGATTGTGGGTGTGTTTTTAACAGGGGAGTTGCTCGGCAGCATTGATGACGTCGTCACTCCCGTTGTTGTTGTTGATGTTGTTGTTGCGAATCGGAGATGACCAGGTTCCGTAGTAGTTGTTGATACAATGAGGAACTCCCCCCACAACTCAAACCCGAGCTGCCACCCCCTCCTCACCCCTCCCCACTGCAGCACCTCCCCCCTCCCCCACCCCGTCTACAGCGGCCACGTGGAAGTCAGTCGCTCACTTCACAATCAAATCAATTTGTCAATCACGAATCGTGCCGAATATCTAAAGCCATGGGGAGGGAGGGAGGGGGGATGGTGGGAAAATTGTTTATCCACCGGAGGAGAACGAAATAAATCGACTAGATTTCTGTGTTAACGTCAAAATCTCGCGGAAGAATCCGCGCACCCGTTGGAGAAAACAAAACCCCCGATCACATGTCGCCGTTTTTGCGCCCGAAAATCGGCCGGGGGAAGAAAAAAAATGTTTCCGTTCAACAAAAAAAATCCCCACCAAATGCGTCGCTTTACGACTAAAATCTGTGGAAAATCCTCGCGCTCCCACCGCCACCACGGGCAGCGCGGGGTAACGCGGGCGGGGGGAGGTTGCTACGAGTGGCGTGGCCGAGTTGAGTTTTCTCTCCCCGCCTCTCTTCACCTGGGTTTGGAGTCGAACTTTAACGGCGCGTGCGGAGGGGTGGAGGGGGAGAGGGGTGGGAGGGCGAGGGCTGCTGGGCAGACCCCGCCGGTGTGTTCATGTGTGAGTGTGTTTGTATACGTGAACGGAGTGGTGAGAGGTGGGGGTCTACCATAAGCCACACTAAAATCAAGCACCTTCCTGGATATTTTGTATCATCCAATAGAGTACTCAGCCCCCTCAACACCCAAAGGGTGATGGGGCAGTTGTGAAAAGACTGGAGACGTTTTCCGACCTGGGTAATGATCAACTCCGGTTTGGCAGCAGAGGTCCCATTCCGAATGCTGTTTGGAAGCGACGTGGTCTGTCGCTCCACACGAAGCTCTGGGTCTTCTCGACCACAACCATGCCCTCCCTTCTCCTTGCTTGCGGAACGTGGAACTCGTCTAATAGAAACATCTGCGCCGGTTTGAAACTTTGAGGCTGACCTGCCTGGGATCCATCATGGCTTTAACCAGGCTGCATTATGTGAGGAGCTTACAAATCTTTAAAAGATCTGGACACATTCCCATCAGTGAGTTTCTCAGAAGGGCAAGGCTGCGTTGGCCGGGGTATGTAGCCCGCGTGCCCAGCCACCGCATACCCAAGCAGCTTCTGTTTGGCCAGATAGAGGGGGCTGAACAGGCACGACACGGGCTAGAGAAGAAATATACTGATGTGGTACGGGGGGATGAGGGAACCGAGTGTCCTTTCCGAAGGCCGGTATCAGCGGTGTCAAGATCGGCCTCTAGGGAGGATGCTCGTGAAGGATGCTACTTGGTAGTTGGATGGAGGCAGTCCCCCTCCAACAACAACGGAGGGCAGAGGAGCGACCCTTACAACGAGCGCAACGCCGGACAGATAAAATACAGCAAGTTGGCACAGTAGGGGGCACAGTCATCTCAGTCAGTCAACCTATGACACCTGGGTCTGTCCCGTGATCTGTCGGCGAGCCTTCGACACTTCATGTGGTCTCGAACCCGGCAAACTGGGTTCGATTCCCGCTCACGGTCAACGCCAGTGACGATTATCTAAACCGGTCCCCGGCCTCCCCGAGATCGGCTCAAATGAGTACCTGGTGGAGTGTGTAAACATCGCCACTAGGGAGACAAAGACGGTTTGGCGTGGTGCTGGCCACCAACCCCCTCGGCCTTCATAAGTGCTTGCTAAAAGCACTTGTCCCTACAGTTTGTTAAGGCTATACGGGATAACTTTGTCTTTGTGCAGGGTGTATATTCAGGTGCGTGAGTTATTGCAGGTGCGCGAGTGTGTGCAGGTGTGTGCAGGTGTGTGTGCTACGAACCCGGCGACCCGAATTCGATTCCTGCTCATGGCCAACAGCAGTGAAGATTATCTGAACTGGTCTTGGGTATCCCTTAGGTCTACTCAGCCTCAAATGATCACCTGTTGCAGTGTGTAAAGATCGCCACTGGGGAGACAAAGGCGGCCGGGCGTGGTGCTGGCCACCCACCCCCTCGTGTGCCGTGCCGGCTTTAATTAGTGCTCGCTAACAGCACTTGCCCCAACAGCATGTGTAGGCTATCATGGGGGATCTTTGTGCGTGTTAGTGTGTGTGTATGTATGTTAACCTTACAGTATTTCTCGCACACGTGGTATCGTGTTCATTGCTGCGTTGTTCTCGTTCTTGCTACGTGTGTTGTAATTAATGTCGCATCGTGAATGTGCGAGACCTGTCCTCGTCTTTGCAGAAGACGGAATGATGAATCAATGATGGAATAAATCATGAATTTGATTATTAAAAAAAACCCTCAAACTCCGATTCCTTCATTCGTCATTTGTTTACCACCACACGTGTCACGGGAACTGGCGGTGATGGTGGTGATGATGAAAGTTAAGATGATGGTGTAATAGTGATGATGATAGTGCTGATGACACTGTCGGTGATGATCGTTTTCTCTCATTTCTATTCGCTTCATTATTGTACTGGAATTAGGTTTTACGGTGTTTTCTTTTATAGTCTCGGTGACCCAGGTCGCTTGAAATTTGTATTTCCCGCGCAAGGCAATATGTTTAGGAGCTAAATGCCAATGTCGAGGTCTGCTCGCCACGAGAGGGCTTCAGGAGAGAGAGAGTTCATGTAGCTTTGCTACACTTTTTGGACAAGTCGCCCGTCTTGGTGCGCAAACTCCTGCAGACAATTGCTGCACTTCAGTTGGCGGTCGACGTTCCAAGTGAGGACTGCGACCCCCCTCAAGGGGATTGGCGCAACCCCCCCCTCCCCCCGGTCGCCTCCACCCCCCGTGATAATTGGATCGAATAAATCATTCGAGACACCACCGGTGTACGGTGGCGAGAGCGGTTCATGCGAATGCCGTCGCAAGAGGTTACCCGTTTGGCGCAGCGGTCCTTCGTTGACGATGCGTGATGAATGAATGCATGATATTTTCTCCGTCGAAGGAGCGTGGTTTACTATGTTGTCCAGAGTTAGGGTTGCATGGTCACAATCGGACCCCTGCGACTTGGCTTGCATTTTCCATTCACGAAGGCGATGTGCGCATCGGCCTGCTGTTTATGTTCTGATGATAGTTCCACCCGTGTCTACGAGGAGGAGGAATTCCAAATCCAGGAGGTGTGTTATGTCTCGAATGAGGATGTGTTTTAATCTGTTCGCCAGCGTTCTTCCGGATCTGGGCGAGGTTCTAGGATGGTGACAGCGCGAACCCATAAGGGAATCGGAACTTGAGTCCGTGGCGAGGTCTTTGTGTTGTCGTGAACAAGAAAATCCGTAAATATCATCAAGCCACTCACTCATTTATCCCACTCACTCTCGCAAACGCGACTATATCCTGGTCTCTTGAATTATCACCTAGTTACACAAACAAATAAACTTGAGACGTTGATGATGGTGGTGATGATGATTATGACGTTTGCGATAGTGATGGCTGTGTGATTAGGACGGTGCTGGTGATGGTAGTGGTGTTGTTTCTGGCGATTATGTTGATGGTATTGTTAACGTTGATGATGGTGATTATGTTGATGGTGGTAGTGATGATTTTATTCGTGATGGTGATGATGGCATTGTCAAGAGCTATTTATAATTCCAGTAAAAATGCAACGTTGGCCGAACGTTGACCCAACGTTACTGGGATATTGGTGATGATGATAACGGTGATGGCTGGTGCAGGTGATTTCCTGATATTGATGATGCTGATGGTGCTGATGACGGTATTGATGACGTCGATTATGTTGTTGTTGATGACGCTGTTGTTTATTATTATGTTGATGGTAATGATAGTGATAATCTCTGTATAATGATACTTTTATTTATGTGTATGTCTGTAACGCACCGAGACATATAGGAACATAGTAAACACCAGTTTGGCCGGGTGGTGAGGCGGGGGGTGTAAGCCACGCTGGTGAGGTCGAGGGGAGGGGTTCATTGGGCTAAGGTGTAGGGGAGAGGCCACCGTGGGCGCCACAGTGGCTAGGAGATGTTAACTATCTCGCCTGGTATACAGGAGGTCGTGGGTTAAATCCCAACCCTGACGCTTGTTGGTATATTTGGAGTTTGCGTGTCTCTCTCGCCCCGTGGTCGCGTGGATGTTTCTCCGGGTCCTCCGGTTTTCCCCTCCACATTTAGCAACATGCGTTGAGAGTATTTGGCAGCTATAAATGTTCACACGATGAGCCACTTTCGTTATCATTTGTGGGCAGGTCGCTTCTGACAAAAAAAGAGCAATATAGCTCAGTAGACCTTACCTGGTAATATAAAAAATATATCTGTTTCAAGTTTATCTTCTTGGTTATTTCGGTAAAGTCACGTAGAAGGGAAATAATAAAATAATAAAAATTAAATATAATAAAATTCTCACGACGTTTCGGCCACAACACAAGTAGCCTTCCTCAGGTGAAGAAACAAAACTGTTGGAAAGACAGCGC